TTTTTGAAGATCATCATCCTTTAGTTGATATGCACCCAAATATACCAAAAGACTAAGGCCTTTATGCACTGCGATCAGTTTGATATATTGTGCACACCTTTATATTTAAAAATTTAGTATCTCGAGAAATCAAACCAGCTCCATTAGAAAGAGTTTTTGAAGGTTTTCATCCTCTAATTGGTGCACTACCACCAACTTGATTATTTGAGCACTCTATTATATTAAGAAATTAATATCTCGAAGAATCAAACCAGGTCCTTTGGAGGGAGTCTTTGAAGGTCTTCGTCCCCTAGTTGATATGCACCTAAAAATACCACAAATGTGTTCGAAAAATACGAGTGTCATTACAAATCCCTGTATGAAGTAGCATTCCAAGGTTTTAATAATTCTTACGTACTTTACACTTCAATATGGAAACCTGAATTTATTTTAAAATAATTCCCTTTCCCATATATTTATTGTTTTATTTAGTTCTTCGTTTATATTGAATTTTGATTGAATAAACAAAATATTTATGCATTATTTTTGCATTAATTGACAAATATTAAACAATTACAGAATTCAAATTTCAATTTATAATTTTGTGCTCTAAATTTGTAATAAAACTGACGTTAAATTCAATTAAATTATGCAGTTTATGTGTCAAAAAAATATTGCATTTAATACCAAAATTGAGATACAATGCAATTTTGTATCTCAAATGCAAAAATTGTTTACACAATAAATTGTCAAAATATTTTGCAAATTCTTATTCATACATTGAAATGTAAATTGCAATATTTTGACATAATATTTTCCATTGACCAAAATTACATTCCGAAATGCATAAAAATGTTGACCATCTCTCTGTGATTTATTCATTAAATCTAACCAGCAAAAGCGATGAGCAGGGTTGCCACACAAAAGCTGTGTGGCTGTGCAGTCTCATTATGAATGCAAGTAAATTTAAGTGTGTTTGCATTTGAACGAAACGAATAGTTTTTGGAAATTCATTCAATAATCTATCTGATTTGTATTATAGCAATACAAAATTTATCATTTAATTTACTGGCATTTCGTGTGCTATTTTCCTGTCAACACAAATTTTAATTAAATAATATTATAACAAAATCAATCGATATTGTATATGGCATGATTGTATTATTCAAAGATACTCAGGATTATATATTTGTGTAATTAATGTGTACTGGCATACACCATAAACCACATTATATCGTCTTTGCCAAAAACATTCAATTGTTAAATATTTTATCTTCAAAGTCCTAATGTTATTTGTGAACTCAATGTAAATATTTCTTAAGAACTTAAGGATTTCTTAAGTACACAGAAGTAGAACGAATAACCGCACCTTTACATTAAACTGGAGTTATATTGTATTCAAGACACAGCTTGTGGTGTAAACTCTACGTATATATCAGGATTAAAATATTCGACAATTGACCATGTCCATGTTTCCCTTGTACTTAGTATCTTTTAATGATTTTTACTATTGTTCTTATCGTATTTAAGACTGAATATCAATCATTTAGTTTCATGTGTTATGTGATAACGTATCGAATGCATTTCAAACTTAATTGAATTATAATATCTAAATTTGTTTTAATTTTAAACATGAGCTTTTGTCTTGAAATTAAATTATTTTCATAATTATTTAATAACTGCAAAGAACATTGAGATCAGAACTTAATTAAATTTCTTTATTAAAACTCTACTTAAATACATGTAAAGAATATATGTAGAATGTAAAGATATATTCTGGATATTTGTTTAAATCCACGTACCCGGCTGGATCAATCAGGTGCACCTAATATGGATTCCGCGACATGCTGACATCCAAGACAATGAAATGGCAGGCAAACTTGCAAGAAGAGGCGCGGCTTGAAGAATGACAGGCACAGAACCATTTTATAGTCTAGGCAAAGGAACTCTATCCATTCTTATAAACGGCGCTGAGAAAGAAGAACGAGAACAGTATTGGTAAAGGCTACCAAGACTATCACAATCTACCATAAAATGCTTTTAGGGACTTACAATCTAGAACGCTTCAAAGATTGCATTGCACAATCCAAAAATAACCTGAGAGTTATTGCGGGATTATTGACCGGTCACTGTGGATTGAATAATTACCTATCGATCTTAGGAATTAAATCCAACTCAGACTGCAGATACTGTAGAGAAGACAGAGAAACTGCATGTACCATGTGCTTGGGAAGTGTCCAGCACTGATGCACAAGCGAAAGTAGCACTTTGGAAGGTATTTTATGGATCATAAGGATCTAAGACTAGGAATGGTACGGTCTACCTATACTGTCTTTCATTTAAGAAATCGTACTTGAAGAAACTCTCTAATTCGAATAAGGGACACAATAGATCTTTTAAGTCTCACTACACCATTCCTTTCAATTCAATAATAATAATAATTGAATCCGCGTGCAAAAGCTAACTTGAAATTATTAGGACATAGATATCATGATATTCAAATGTTTGTCTAGCTAACTTACTTTCTCTCTCTTCCTCTCTATTTTTCACTATTGTTGTGTTATTCATGCAATTTGACACGACTGGTGGCAAATGTTTATGTATTAAATTTTATATTGTTGTTGGAACTTAAGAAAAAATCCGACTAACAACAGTGGCAATAATATTTCTGGTAATAAAATAATAATTGGCGAATAAAAGTACCATTAAGCTTGCTTATACCTAAGATAATTAAATATTTTCAATTTAGAATAGAAATGTTTGCTTTAATATAATAATTCGATATATCATTGCAGTATATATAAAACATTATTTGCGCATAACTAAAGTAGGTCTTTGTTGAAAATTCTAAAACTTGATGGATCTTCTAAGTATGATATCTTTGTTTAGTTTCTCTTCTCATGCAGCAAAAATTTCCACTTATTAATTTCTGTACATTAATGATCAAATTTTTCTATACAAATTTGAACGAGAAAAAAAGTATTAATAATTTGCAGTACTTAACAAAATAAACTCTCAGAATTCCAATTATTTATTGAGGATTTTTCAGCGCAAAAAGGAAAATAATGACTGGCAACTGATAAGTAATGACAATGACGATAACAGCAAATGAAATTGCAAAGATAAGAATTGGCAAATTGATACAAAATCACAGCAAAAATAAATTGAAAATCAAAACTTCACAAAAAGCGATGCAATAAAAAAGGGAGAAAACCTAATAACAGCATCGATGGAAGATAAAAAATGATTGAATGCTGCAACCGCAACCGCAACTGCAACTGCAACTGCTTATTGAAATGCTGCTGATTAACATAAATCGTGTTGCTGCCTTTTCTTCTTTCCTCATTTTGTAGATACTTTTTGCACAAAGTTTGCAAATAAAAAGATTTTTTCTTTTAAAAGGATTTGCCTCACAAACAAAAAATATGAAATCAAATAAGGAAAAAATATTTAAGTAGTGTATAAAAAATATATATATAATATAGTATATAAAAAACCAACAAATAAAATTTGCAATAAAGAAAAAAACGCAAATAAAAATAATAAAATGCTACATTTGCAGTAATATAACAGCAGCCGTAGCTCGCAGATACATTAAAGGAAAAATTATATTAAAAAAAAAATTGCGAAAAAAGAATTCAGTGTTGAGAAAAAAATCGTTGGCAATCTCAAAAGTAAATTTGTAGAGGCGTAAAAAGCAAATAAAAAGCATGGAACAAACAAAAGGAACCCTGTCAGCAAACGTATTACATTTATCTGCAACATCGTGTTCAGAAATACTTAAATGCATGCAACTGCAACAGCATTTGTTGATGATGTTGCTGCTGTAAGATATCTTGAAAAGAATAAAAAACGTTTATTCCTTCCCTGTGCTTTTTTTCTTAACGAAAGGAAATTAAAGATATACCACGCTTTAAGTTCCACTAAGCAGCAAATTGCTTTAAGAGTACCGGAATTTAATGCACTACACTGAGAAAAATTATATGCTATTTATAGATTGTAAAACTGAATTGAATACATGGGATTGAAACCCCTAATTTAAAAGCAGTTTTTCTTCTTTAATAATTAAAAAGTATTACAAGCCACTGTGTGTGACTTTAACCCAATAAAACCAGCTCTTAATAAATAATCGTATAATTCATATCAAACCATTAATCACGATCAGTTTCAAAATAGGTTAATAGGTTTAGTATTTAGAGAGGTAAGATCATCTGAGTCGAAGAGCATAAAAGAGAACGTGAACAAAATGGAATATGGAACAAGATATAGTAGGTTTAGTATTTAGAGAGGTAAGATTATCTCAGTCGAAGAACATAAAAGAAAAGGCGAACAAAATGGAAGATGGAACAAGATGTAATAGGTTTAGTATTTGGAGAGCTAAAATAATCTTAGCCGAAGAGCATAAAAGAAAGCGTGAACGAAATAGAAGATGAAACAACATGCAAAGGGTTTAGTATTTAGAGAGGTGAGATCATCTTAACTGAAGAGCATAAAAGAGAACGTGAACAAAATGGAATAGGGAACAAGATATAGTAGATTTAGTATTTAGAGAGGTAAGATTATCTCAGCCGAAGAACATTAAAGAAAAGGCGAACAAAATGGAAGATGGAACAAGATGTAATAGGTTTAGATTTAGCGAGCTAAAATTATCTCAGCCGAAAAGCCTAAAAGAAAGCGTGAACGAAATGGAAAATGGAACAAGATGTAATAGGTTTAGTATTTAGAGAGGTGAGATCATCTCAACCGAAGAGCTGGTAAAAAAGGGTATATAAGCTAATAACTGCTATATAACTGCTATATAACTTTGACAGATTCGTTTGTCTCATTCATATAGAGATAAT